GGGAGGGAGATGATTGTTGTGGGAGGTGAAGAAGATGAAGAGTGTTATGGGCCGAGGAGATTGTGGAGAGTGGAGGAAGATAGGGGGGGGTGGGGGGAGGTGGGTAGGAGAGGTTGTGGGTGGTGAAAGGGGGCTGGAGATGAGGGGTTTGAAAAGGAAAGTTGTCTTCAATAAAAATAACTTGTCGGGATATGATATATCAATTTCCCTGAATATCGAAGCACTTTTAGCTTTTTTGATGTGGATTGTATCTCAACAAAAAGCATTTGGGAGCTTTTGGTGTAAATTTGTGAGATGTTTGATGGGGTTGCCAGGGAAAGTAGCGACACTCAAAGGTTCTAAGGTGCTCAAATTCAGGGGGTTTGTTATGAAGTAACTAAAAAAAGAGATTTGTTTTGGATGGTAGATGAAGGAAAGCGATATATTAAATATGTGGTTGTTTGGATGAAAGCCGTCCAAAATTTAATTGGGAACATGATTGAGTTGAGCAAGGATCTAGATGTTTCAATTAAATACCAATTTTTAAGTTCGGTAAGACCACTTTGTTTTGGAGTATGGGGGCAACTATATTAGTGTTGGATACCATACTCTTGTGAGTATTTATTGAGTATGTGAGCCATATACTCCCCATCTCCATCAAAGCATATATATTTTATGTTTCTATAAAAATCATTTGTGATCATCTTATGTAAGTTAATAAAATGATGAATAGATTCAAATTTATATTTGAGTGGAATGCACTAATAGAAGCATGAGTGAGAGCCAATGAGGTAAACATAATATCTGTATCCTTCGATTGAAGGGTGAGGAAATGGGCCCCTATTATTTGAATGCGAAAAGTCTAAAAGATCGTAAGTGGTGGAACTCTCAGAAAAGGGTAATTTACGACTTTTATTTTGTTTGCAATCAATACATGAATGAGTAGAAGCTGAAATTTAAAGTAAGGAAAATAGTGAGAAATCTTAGAGAGAACTTTATTGTGAGGGTGGCCCAGTCTTTGGTGTCATAGATTGGAGTAGAAGACCGTTGTAAGAGCTGTGATTGGGTATAAATCATGATCAACAGTTCCATGATGTAGAATTTTCTTGGTTGTCAGATCTTGAATATAAAACTTGTCAACATGAAAAATAACTTAACATTTAATGTCATGAGTGATTTTATGTACACAGATCAAATTGTGAGTAAGTTGAGGAACTCTAAATAGGGGTGAGAGTTTTAGCTTATGGTGAGGAGTTGGATGTATACCAACTCCAACGTGAGTAATTTTAGAGTTTTTTTTTTTAACCTACAACAATCTATTCTGAACTTATGTATGTGGATGTTTGATGATTGTTGTCCAAGTGAGGCGTGAGGTGAGCGGTTGCACCCATGTCTATGACCCAGTCTTGTGGTTGGGGTTGAATCTGACTGGTGAGGGTAGCCGTTTGAAATGTAGATGGTGTTCTATAATGTAGGTTGATCCGGTGCCAGCAGTTGCTGGCTGAGGGACCTCTTTTATTGCATATTTTACAAATGATACTTTATTTGACTTTTGCAAAGGTGTTGTTGTATTATTATTTGTTGTGTGCATTGTTCTTGTCGAGGGTTCTTGAAGTTTGGTAACCACCTTTGTTTTTGTAAATGACTAATGCCTGTGCTGAATATTTGGTTGACTCATTTGCTAAGTTGCACTATTTACTATGTAAGAGTGCATAGAAGTCCTCGAGAATGATGAAATATAATTTCGTGCGAATGGCTATCTTGAAGCCTTGATAGGTTGGAGGGAGACCATTTAGCGCGTAGAAGATAATATCCTTGTTGTCAACCTTGGAGTCGACTGTGACAATACAACCCACCAGTTTCTTGATAATTGTGAGGGTTTGGCTCACTGTGTTGGCACCTATGGTAACATTTTGTAGTTCATTCTTAGGGTAAATCACTTAACATCTATTGGTTGCTTGAAATTAATTGACAAGACTATTCCAAATTTTAGCTGAATTGTTGAGATGGAGGATATAAGGATGGGGAGAGGAAGAGATAGTGGAGAGTATTGTTGCAGCAAAGTTCTGATCGATAAGTTGCCTGTAATTGTATTCTTGATTTTCTATATCATTGCCAGATTCGTCTTGGATGAATCTTGGAGGGGGTTGAGTGGTACCATCTAAGAAGGAGTCAAACCCGTTAGCAAACAACAAGTTAGAAATCTGAATTTTTCATACTTTTATGATATAATGGGTTGGTGGTCATGTTCTTGATGTGTGACATCAAGAACTTTAGAGAGTTTGGTATGTTGATGTCCTTTATCTTTGAAAAGGATGTGCCAGGTTGTTGGTTGTTTTGTGTGGAAGATGAGGATCCTAATTCCATGATGAAAATAGCTAGCAGTTCTGATACCACAGAATAAACCTGACTAGAGAAGAAAAGGAGAAGGAAAGAAAGAAGATAAGAGGAAGAAGAAGAAAAAGGAGAAGAAGAAGAAGCATATGAAAAACCAGAAGAGAACTAAATAACACAACTCTCAAACTTCTCTATATTTTTTATATCCGTACATGACAGAGAAACAAGTATTAAATAGAAGTTGAATGGCAAACTTGTAAATAAGAGAAATAGCATAATTAACTATGTTGTCCATTACATAAAACATAAACTAATATAAAAGCCTAAATGCTTTGTAGGAAACCTAATAGGACAAACCCTTAGATGCACTATGGAGGATATGCAGACCTGAGGGACCAGTGACTAGATGAAGGAGGAGACGTCGACATATGAACCAAGTGCCTTTTAGAATTGGCAGAACATGTTTTCATTTATATTCAAAGATTGTTTTAATCACTAATTTTAATTTAGTCATCAAACTCAAAATTCTAAAAAAAATAATAATACAAATTCAAAATAGGAATTTTAAATAATTAAAATGTCAAATTTCAAGAAAGAGAAGAAGAAGCAGATGAAAAACCAGAAGAGAACTAAATAACACAACTCTCAAACTTCTCTATATTTTTTATATCCGTACATGACAGAGAAACAAGTATTAAATAGAAGTTGAATGGCAAACTTGTAAATAAGAGAAATAGCATAATTAACTATGTTGTCCATTACATAAAACATAAACTAATATAAAAGCCTAAATGCTTTGTAGGAAACCTAATAGGACAAACCCTTAGATGCACTATGGAGGATATGCAGACCTGAGGGACGAGTGACCAGATGAAGGAGGAGACGTCGAGATATGAACCAAGTGCCTTTTAGAATCGGCAGAACATGTTTTCATTTATATTCAAAGATTGTTTTAATCACTAATTTTAATTTAGTCATCAAACTCAAAATTCTAAAAAAAATAATAATACAAATTCAAAATAGGAATTTTAAATAATTAAAATGTCAAATTTCAAGAAATTCTAAAATTTTTGAAATAAGAGTCTCATTTCTGATACTCATTTAATTGTCATTATGGTGATCTCAGTGCCTATTATCATCATCATCGCCATAATAATATTCATCATGCCCCATATCATATGCAAAGTTGTCTAAAAGGTTAGATGTCACGAACAACTCGTGTTCGACTGGTTAAGTAGCTTTTGTTCTAATTGTTCGTTAGGTAAACGAACTGAAAACCAACAACTTCTTTAAGCTCGAATGAAAAATAAGATAAACACTAACAACTATTTTTTCGATCATGTTCGTCTCATTTTAGCTTGAAATAAATAAAAAAATATATAGAATATTATTCATATAATAATATATCATATATATTTAATCTAAGTTTAAATTTTAATAGCTCATGTGGTTATGTAGTTCTGCATTTTTTTATTGCACAGAATTGATGAGGTTCAAATCAAACGCCTTAGATATGTTTTTTTAATTAATTTAACGAGCCAATTTCAAGTTGAAGGCAAACAAGGAAATGTAAATAGAGTCGAACACAAACACATAGTTCATGAGGAAATTCAAACACGAGCCATTTTCGAATGAGCTGTACACAAGCCAAGCCTACACTCGCTAAAGCTTAATTCATTTACCTTCTTCATCTTATGTCATCCACGTCCTCGAGGATGCCATCAAAAATATCCACATGATCACCAATATTAACCTAAGTAGTGTAACAAGGAGACGTTTGCCGAGACACTCGCTGTATTTAAATTTTTAATAAACTCTTTAATATTTATACTAAGCTAAAATATTAATATCATACTCATCTTAATTAAATATATTAAATTCGAGATTTATTCTATACATTTGTCGCTCTAAGCGTCTTAATGCAATAAACAAAAGTGCCTTGATGCAATAGATTTTAAATATATTAATGCCTAAAAGAATGTATTGATACAAAATTTTATATCTAAGAAAGCAAAACACATATAACGGGTGTAAACAAGTCGAGTTGAGCTCATGCAACTCTCTGTTTTAGCTGAAGCTCGATTAATTTTATCTGGTTCGAGCTCGAGCTCTAACTTATGTCTACAAGTTGAGTCAAGGCATATTCATAAAGATAAAATCTTCATATATTTTGAGTATATTTTATATCAATAATTTTTTAAACTTGCCCCAGTTCACGAGCTAACGATAACTTATGTCTACAAGTTGAGTCAAGTCATATTCATAAAGATAAAATCTTTATATATTTTGAGTATATTTTATATCAAAAATTTTTTAAACTTGCCCCAGTTCACGAGCTAACGAGTTGATTCAAAACTGGCTTGAGCTTTAGCTTGTCGAGCTCAGTTTACGAGCCACTTATCAAGTCGAGCCCGAGCAGGCTTATGAGTCTGCTTGACTCACTTACACCCTTATCTGGAAAAAATTTTTCCTTGCATGCGGTGTCAGATCTCTACCTTCCTTCCATCATGGCTTCAGTGGAATTAAAAAAAAAGAGTCCCGCAATCGTGATGGACGGCAAAGATCATGCATTTATGCATTTATGCGTCTGGGTGTCCGCACTTAATAATTTTTCCCGACCTGGGTACTAATGGAGGGTAGTTTGGTCTCTGAAACTCGCCTATAAGACGCCGGCACCCAAAAGCTTACAGTCGAGGTCAGCGACTCACAGAGAGAGAATTCCTGCCTGTGCTCTTTTGATTTGAGCTCAAAGTTTTCTCCAGGTGAGTAACAACACCTTCATCGTTGTGGATTCCTCGACGATTTCTGCTTCATTTATGCTATGTTGGTTGCTTTCTTTTGATTTAAAAGTTCAAATCTCCATTTCCTGCCGATCTTTTTCCTGTTTTGGGTGATTTTTGGTACTCGTCCTTACGCTTTTGGTTTGATACTATAGTAGAGGGATGCAAACGGGTTTAGGTCTTGCTTTTCCTTGTCCTAAAATCGGATCAGATCTGTTTAGCTGGAAAGGAATTCAACCGTAAAGTGAAGTTGGTTTAAGCTATGAAGATTTAGTAGTTGGGGATGATGATGTACTTATATCAGGAAGACTTGTTCTATTCTTAATGAAGAAATGAAGTTCTGTTTTTTTTTCTTTGTGAAATTTTTTTCGATTTCAAACAACCGAAGGGCTTTCTCGGTGTTACTGTTTTGGATTTTTCATTTGTCCTTGTTACAGTAACAGTGAATTTAATACCTGAATTGACATTTAATAACCAGGGAATCTTTAGTAATAAGGACATCTCTATTAACATTCAAGCGAGCGGCCTCTGATTTGTTTGTTTAGTTATAGTAAATATTTTAAATTATTTTCTTAGCCCTCGATGTTACGATTTACGATGAGACATCGTCTAAGCAGCTCTGCAGACAATAATAAACTAGTTCAATGGATGAAGAACGTGATAGCTATTTGATAATTGAATTATTATTTTTTATATTATATTTTTAATCCTTCATTTCCTATAAATAATTTATGTGAGGTACAATTTTTCCTTTTATAATTATCGCTGGCAGCTTCTTATTTGATTTCTTGGATGTAACAGTTGTACAAATTAAGAAAGTCAATATGAGCTGTTCGGTTCCATTGTAGATAAACTAAACCCAGTAATATGTAGTAATTTTATATTATTTTATATAGAATTGGATCCAGGACTATAGCTATTTTAGTGTGCGCAAGACTTGTTTGTTCATTCGGTGTCAGGTTAGGTGAAATTATTTACAAAATCTCCTGAAAAGAAGGTGCCAAGAATAATAAGAAAGCCCTGCTGATGAGGAATGCATCGAAGTTAGAAGAGAATACTGAGGAACTACTGGAGGCTGTTCAGGTCTTTGGATAGATAAAATCAAGTGATCAAATAATATTTCCAGGTAGAATTGAGTGAAATTTGGCATTTATTGAAGAAAGAAGGAATATAAGAGGGCCATATTTAAGGGGAATGTTAAGGCACTCATTCATGGCCAAATTTGAATTAGTTTCTTAGCAGATCCTGCTTTTTTGTTTTTTTAAACCAGAGATTGTTTGATTTGTCTTGTGAGTGGACTCAATTGAATTTGTACGGCATGCTGTATGAATCACGGCCTGCTTGGTTTGAGGCAAATAGATACGATATTAAGGAAATTTTTATAGTTGTAGATAAGGAAGATATTGGCAACATTTATTTTTTAGCAGAACTATGTGGTTTGGTTTGCATTGGGGGAGGCCTTCTACAGTTAGTCAAGTCGTTGAGGTTGATGCATGGATACTGACAAATCGGTAGGTGATTCTTGAACCCACTCAGGGTCTGGTTCGTGATCAAAAGAGATGAGTTTTGACTTTTTTGGAGAATTTGCATGGGGTTGTTTGATCTTCTAAACTAGTCCAAGAACTTTGATCGTGGATAAAAAAAAAAAAATAAATAAATAAATAAATAAAATAAATAAAATACAAACTCATCATATAACTAGCTTTGCGGGTGATACGAGGGTGAGGCACTATGAAGTTTCAATCCAGAATTTTAAGCTAATAAATACGGCTATTATCAATGAATAGGAAATCTATTTATTATTATTTTTTTTATTTCCAAATTTTGTGTTTTTCCGCTGTCATTGTATCTCAATCACACGTGGAGACAAAGGAGACCGTGTTGTGGCACTTGGCCCTTCACTCTTTCAAAAGATTTTAAATTGATGACTTGAAAATTCTCGTTAAACTCCTTGTTTTGTTATTTATGTGGCCCCTTATTCACATTTATGTTGATATTTAGCTGTTATAAGTCAAAATTTGAAGCTTGCTTGCTCCATCTAATAAATCAATGTTCATAACTTTGAGGTGGCACTTTGCATGATCAATGACCATTATATTTGAATTAAAATAAATTTTATTGCATTCTAGAATATTTGTAATAATCGATAAATTTTGTCATCTAGCATTGAATGAAAAATTTTTAGATGATTATGATAAAAATTATTTATAGGAAATAAAAGATTTTTATGTTTAAAATAAAGAGGTGAGAATCTTGAGAGGCATGATTCAATTTAACTGATGCGCCCATTGTGAGTTTTAAATTACAAATAATATATTTTCTCATAATTGGTAAATATATTAATACAAAATAATAAGGTTGCATTGTAAAAGATAGCTTTCACGTAGAAATTTAGAAGTTCATGTTGGGTAATGTGGAGGCCCGGTCCACCGAATTTAGTTAGTTTCTTAATTAAGTATCCCACCTACCGCTCACTTACCACACCTACCTACCACTTATCTACCACATCCCACCTACCTCACACCTACCGCTCTCATGGTTTCTATAAATAGTCTCTTTTGGTTTAAAGAAAAGGAAATGGAAGTCAAGCAAGACCAAACCAAGTCATTTTGAGAGCTAAGAGAGAGAGAAAGAGAGAGAGAGAGGAAGGGCGAGAAGAAAATAGAGATTTTCTTGTAAACATCGAGACGCTCGACGATGTAATTCCTCGAAGAAATAAAATCCTCTGCAGCTCCGTGGACGTAGACAAATTTGCTGAATCACGTAAATCCGTGTTTCGCTCTGCTGTTTTTTCTCTGTGTGCAATTTTACTCGTTCCATTTTTCGCTTTATTGTCGTCATTTTCCACAACAACTGGTATCAGAGCTTTAGTTCAAATCTAAGAAAGAACGATGAGCGGAGACGAAGTGATGACATCGAGGATCAAGAAGTTCAATGATACAGATTTTGCTTTCTAGAGGATGCAGATAGAGGACTACCTCTATGGGAAGAAACTTTACCTTCCATTACTGGGAAAATGACCAGAAAAGATGGACGAGGCGGAATGGAGTCTGTTTGATCGACAAGTTCTGGGGGTTATACGATTAACTCTGTCGAGATCGGTTGCCCACAACGTCATCAAGGAGAAGACTATTGCAGATCTCACGACGGCTTTATCAGGTATGTATGAAAAACCATCAGCGAATAACAAATATCGGCGAATAACAAGGTGCATTTGATGAAAACGTTATTCAACTTGAAGATGGTGGAATGTATCTCTGCTGCTCAACGCCTGAATGATTTCAATACTATCACAAATCAATTGTCGTCTGTTGAAATTGATTTTAATGATGAGATACGTGCGCCGATATTGTTGGCATCATTGTCAAATAGCAGGAAAACCATGAGGATAACAATTAACATTTCTGCAGGTAAATCTAAGCTGAAATATGATGATATTCGTGATTTGATTTTGGCTGAGGAAGTGTGTAGAAAAGATTCTGACGAGACCTTGGGTTCGAGTTCGGCACTGATTGTTGATTTTAGAGGGAGATCACAAGACAGAAACTCAAACCGTGGAAAATCAAAATCAAAGTCAGGTCAGCAGGCAACCTGCTGGAATTGTGGCAAGACTGGCCACATAAAAATGAACTGTAGAAATCCTAAGAAGACGGAGAATTATGACGCTAATGTTGTAACTGAAGAAATACATGATGCACTATTTCTGGCAGTTTACAATTCTGTTGATGATTGGATACGGGATTCATAGGCTTCCTTCCATACATCTTCTCATCGAGAGTTAATGCGAAATTATGTTGCAGGTAACTTTGGGAAGGTATATCTTGCTGATGGAAAAGCTCTATACGTGATGAGGATGTGAGACATTTATCTTGTACTCCCTAACAAGAGCAAATGGGCTTTGTAAAAGGTCAGACACGTTCCTGAGTTGAAGAAAAACCTCATCTTTGTTGGGCAGCTCAATAAGGGTGGTGATTTGGTAGTGTTCTCAGATAACACCTGAAAGGTTACCAAAGGAGCATTAGTACTGGTTCGGGGTAAGAAAACTGACACACTATATATGACTACAGGTTTACTCAGGCGAGGACACATCTCAGACGAGGACACATGAGTCATAGGTGCATTATAGGGGAGCAGAAGAAGGTCAATTTCCCGAAAAGTGGTAGAGCGCTAAAGACAGAAAAATCAGACCTTGTACAGACAAATGGTGGAGAACCACAAAGTTATGAAAAAATCTTGCAAGATGAGAATTCGAGTAAGTGAATTCGAGTAAGTGAGAGAGTAAGTGAGAGCTAACCAAAAAGAAGGAGACATATTCTCTACCAGAGAATCATACTTAGGAGCTTGCAGAACTTCTATCAAGGAAGAAGGCATTGCACAACAGGTGGGCGTACCGGGTGAAGACTACTATTGATGGCAGTAAGAGGTACACGACTGAACTTGTTGAAAAGGGATTTTAGCAGGGGCAGGATAATGCTCATGCAGTGGGAGTTGTAAGTAGATACAAGAGTAACCCAGGAAATAACTTGGTGGTACGAGACTACGTTGGCGGTGATATGTCAACTGAGGGTATTACTCGTGAGAAGCTGAAGTTGTGCTCAACTTCAGTTGGTCTTCTGACATGAAAACAGGGGTTTCGAGTTACAGAGGTGGAGGATATCATGTTTGAGAAAAAAAGTCGGTACAGCTAGTAGATGATGCAACTAGTAGGTGATGCAGTCAGTGTCCCAGTCTTTAAGTGAGAGAATTATTGGGTAATGTGAAGATCTGATCCACCGCAATTTATTTAATTTTCTAATTAAGAATCTCACCTACCTTCTCACCTACCACACCCACCTACTGCTCACATACCTCACCTATTGCTCACATATCTCCTACCTACCGCTTTCATGGTTTCTATAAATAGTCTCTTTTGATTTAAAGGAAATGTAAGCCAAGCAAGACCAAGCCAAGTCATCTTGAGAGCTAAGAGAAAGAGAGGAAGAGAGAGAGAGAGAGAGGAAGGGAGAGAAGAAAAAAGAGATTTTCTTGTAAACGTCGAGGCGCTCGACGGTGTAATTCCTCAAAGAAATAAAATCCTTTGCAGCTCCGTGTACGTAGACAAATTTGTCGAACCACGTAAATCCGTGTATCGCTCTGGTGTTTTTTCTCTGTGTGCACTTTTACTCGTTCCATTTTTCGCTTTATTGTCGTCGTTTTTCACAACAGTTCATTGATATCAGAGTTATCATCAAGGGATGATTTAGGTTTACTTATTCTCTTTATATGGTAGGGGACATGTGATTAGGGAAGAAAATAGTAGCCCTGGTAGTGACAATAAACGTGGGACACTGGGTATCTTCTTGGCTTTGATGGATGAAATCAATGGTAGCAGTGACACCAAGTGTTAAGATTATTAACAATAATGGGTGTCAGTTTTGGTAGTGATGGCGAGCATCGATTTTATTTATGATGACGGGTGTTTTCTCTTGTTAGCAATGTTGGACATCAATGTTGTTGACAATGATTTGAGTTGTTAGCAAAGGCATGCATCCATATTGGTTCAATGATAGGCACTATTGTTTCACTTGTGGATGCCCGTGTTGATGGTGATGACATGCGTTATTTGGAACAACATATTTTGGCATTGTTAACGATGCAAGATGTTGGTGATGATGGCAGGCGTCTGTCATAGTAGTAATGATAAATATTAGTCTTGTTGGCGACAATGGACATCATGCTAGTGAAGACAATGATTATTAGTCTTGTTGACACTAGTAGGCAATGCTTTCATTGTGCTTAAACACATCAAATTTGGTGGGGATATCAGACATCAACCTTGTTGGTGAAGATGTGTGTTGGGGCTATTAAGAACATCACATGTTTTGTCATTGTTAAAAATTATAACACTCAACGTTGATATTGATTGCATGTGTCGATTTTATTGAAAATGACAGACAAAGAGTTTGGTGGAGATGGTGGGTGTTTGCATTTTAATGACAACTAGTAACGATATTGTTGACAATTATAGGCATTGGTGTCAATGTTGGGTGTTAACTTTGTTTGTAACAATGAGTGTCAACTTTACCTTAGAATTAGGGGCAATTTATAAATATTTGTAGAGGTCATTTTGATAAAAAATCAAGACAATCCATCAAACCATCGGACTAGATACCCCTTAATTATAAAACTCTTTAGACATTTAATTGTATCATTTTTCCATGATCTTGGGATCATCATATTCATTTGCTGGAGGTTCATTTTGAGTATAATCTTATAAATCTTATAAGATTATGAGGATATATAATCCCCAAAATAATCTTGAGAAGTTTATAATTTTAATTTTGATTGCTTGAATTAGACTCGTGCGGATCTAGAATAAGTCATTTTTGATATATTTGAATTCATCTCATTGAGACAATTATTAAAGTATATGATGGATATTAGTAGAGTGGGCTGTCCCAAAGTTCATCTCCGAAGTTTTTGATATGAATACTTGGACGCTTGGCGACGTCAAAATTCTATCTACATTCATGCTATCATATAAATTTTATTGTGACCTATTAAATCTAACAGCCAACACATAACATACTGTTGATCTTAAAATTTAAAGTAATACTTAAATATTATGAATGCTATTATTATTTTTTAATTGAGCAAGGCATATAACATAAAGATATTTTTTAAAGTTTATTATTACATCACTTGCTTCATTACTTGTAAATGCGAATTAAAAAAAAAACAACTCTTTTACTTAACTCATAATTGTCACATTATCTATATTTATTATACCATCACAAACAACTCTTTTACTTAACTCTTAATTGTCACATTATCTATATTTATTATACCATCACTTAATTTCAATTATCTATGTTTAAAAAATTCATATAAAAAATATTTAATATTTAGCTATTTTATTAAGTTTTTTTTTGGTTATGACATAATGCTAATATCTAGTTATATTTAAATTAAATTTATTTACATAATTTCCAATCACTATGACTTTACTAAGAGATTTTATCAATCAAAATTTTTTATGTTATTTATTATTTTTATTCTTGCAAGGCAAAGGTATTGTTTAATACACATGTAACAAAAATAAACTCAAAGTAATCTTTTTTGATTTTATATTTATGTGTTTGTTAATGTAATATCTTATAAAAAATAATAAAACTTTCAGTTGCTTTGTTATTTTGGGTTAGATCAATTCTAAGGTTGCGCATTCGCCGATATATTCAGATGATGTGATTGGCAAATAATAGAAAATCATTTGAATCAAACTAAAGTACAAGTAAAATCTAATCAACCAAAGAATAGTAGAATAAAATTAAATTAAGCCATACTATAATTCAATTTCTTTGATTGATTTTTGTTCAACTAAATTATTGAATAAAAAAGACTAGATTTTTTATTTTGATAATGCT